GCTCTGTAAGTGGCGGCGGAGGGAGAAAAAATAAATTCTATTAGCGAGGCCAGTGACGGGCCCCCTGACGGCCGCGGGCAGCGGCCGTTTTTAAAGGCAGCACAGAGGCCCGGGGGGCAATTGCCACCCTGCCCCCCGGCCCAGTCCGCCCCTGCCTCGGCACTACAGGTTTTGTGAAACTACAAGTCCCACGATGCATCGCAATACACTGTGAGCCCCACAGGCATGACTCCCAAAGGCAGAAGCATTATGGGATTTGAAGTTTCACCCCAGCTGGAGTTCCAAGGTTGCCTACCCTGATTTAGAAGGTGACTGAAGTTGGTGTAGTAGTTTTGGATAGAGTAGGGAAGATTTAAAAGCCTTTTCGGTATAGTTTTTGCTGTCTGTGTCCTGTTGGGGGAGATTTTCCTTTACTTCCTGTCCTAAAGACACAACAGGAAGTAAGAGGAAATCTTTCCAAAACAAGGGGAATTCCTCTCTTTAGACAGTTTCATCGCAGAAAATGTTTTGATTGGAAGATTTCCTATCACCTTATGTTCTAGTGACAACTGTAAACTTTTGGTCCCTACATCGTTTTTTGCCGGACTGTCACTTCGTGTCTCAATGATCACTGGAACAAACAAAAAAAAGTTTCCCTTTCAAATTGGATCCTAAACAAAAATAATAAAAACAAGCTTCATAGCGCGAGTCATCATTCCCCCATCAAGTGGTTTTCTTGCATGGGCTGAGCGAGAAAACTTTATGTGTAAGGCCAGTTTAACACTAACAGTTCTAACAGTTCTAACACACAGACTAATGTCTGCAGCGGACCCGAGGGGCCACATAACAGGTACTAAAGGGCGGCAAGTTGGGCACCAGGATTTTAAACAATGTGATCTCACCTCAAACATTGGCATTGGCAGTGACAGGTACTCTTTAAGGTGATGCTGGGGGTCAAAAAGACCCCCTAGTATCACCTTTACAGTTGACATAGGGTATTGAAGTGCAGATCGCACTTGGGCTTCAGGAGCCCAGCACTGACAGCTATGGGACCGGAAGTGATGTAATCTGCATCGCTCCTGGTCCCATTGTACGGGGAGGTGATCGGTGAGCGGAGGTTCGTCCATCTCCTTCCCAGCTTCCCCTCGACACTAGAGATGCCGGTCCTGGGCCTGTAGGTGGGGCAGCGGAGCCCAGGAAACACAGCGGGTGTGAAGGGCGGGGCTGGTCCGTTTAATGGCCCGTAGAAGTGATCTGGCGGCATCTGAGCCGCTAGAATCGCTTCTACTGCAAAGCCAACAGTCGGCTTTACAAGTGTAAACAGAGTCCTGGCGGAGTCTGTTTAAATGGGCCCATACAGTGTACGTCACTGGTCATGAAGGGGTTAAAAAATAATTTGCTCTGTACAGAATATATTGTACCCACACAGCACAGCTGGCTAATGAAGGAGTAGTAGATATCCTTGGGTTGCCGGCCCCCACAGGCCTGGACTCCGTTGGGCCTCCTGTATTGCTCTAGACATTGCACTTTATGTGATGATAAAGAAAGGACAGCTCCAAGCAGCAGACATACCATGTGTACAGGTTCTACCTGCAGATCAGAACATTTGTCTGAGTGCTGCCGAGAATAACTATCAAGATTTGGAAATCCTCCAAATAGCAGGTAAAACACGCGGCCTCAATTATCAGGGCGTCTTTCTTCACGCCCCATTGAAAACCTTCACATCATGAAATATGTTATGTGCGCCGGAGTCCCAAACTGGGATTAAAAATAGCCCCAAAATAAAGCACCGCACCCGATCTTCGTAAATGTGACGAGAAAACAGAAATTCAAAATAAAGACCTGCATGCAGAGAGGAATATTCACCGCTTCTGCGACTTCCTCTGTCCCCCCCAAGTTGTGGAACACCAGAGCTCGGTCGCAAATGTGACTGCTGCGACCCTGGTAGTTCCACCAGTGCCTACCACTGACACCAATCATAGGGCACGAACACTCCCACTCGCACCAATCATAGGGCACTATTCCTCCCACTGACACCAACACTGGAGCACTATTCCTCCCACTGACACCAATGATGGGGCACTATTCCTCCCACTGACACCAATGATGGGGCACTATTCCTCTGGGCGGGCGGCTGGCCGGGTGCAGGTGGCAGCGGCCGTTCGCGATGGCATCAGAGAGGCCCGGGGGGCAATTGCCACCCTGCCCCCCGGGCCCAGTCCGCCCCTGACTCACACCAATCATAGGGTTCTATTCCTACCACTCATACCAATCATAGGGCACTATTCCTCCCACTCACACCAACACTGGAGCACTATTCCTCCCACTGACATCAATGATGGGGCACTATTCCTCCCACTCACACCAATCATAGGGCACTATTCCTCCCATTCACACCAATCATAGGGTTATGAACTTGTGAGCACTGCCATCTAGTGACCAAAATTGTATACTGCAGGAGTTATTGCTATAAACACAGTAATATGTATTCTAACATTTACTCCCATTGATGTCGGGGAATTTTCTATTCCTACTGGTCCACAGTCTGGCCCCCCTACATTCTGAAGTGTAGTGGACTTACCCTTTGTGTAGAAAGTTTGAGAACCCCTGGTTTAGACACTTATGGGAGTGTTCAGTTCTTGGTCCCTATCTCACATGCACACGGGGCCAATTTAGACAGGAGCCAATTAACCTTCCAGCATGTCTTTGGAGTGTGGGAGGAAACCGGAGTACCCGGAGGAAACCTACACAAGCACAGGGAGAAAATCCAAACTCCTTGCAGATAGTGTCTATGACCATGGTTTGAACCGGGGACCCGCAGTGCTACAAGGCAGAAGCTTTAGCCCTCATTCACACTGGAATCGGCCCGGATTTCCCATTGATGCGGCAGAGCACAGAGGGGCAGCAGCGGTGACCTTGTGGGGAAGTTGCGGGCGCCGGTGTAAGGTGTGTAGTTCCTCAAATCATCTCTGAATTGGTGCTGACACTGACCTTCCTTCTGGAGGGTGGCTGCATTTGTTTCCCATGGTCTCTGTGTGTGTTGTAAAGTAGTCACCACTCCGGGCTCGCTCCTGTGATGGATGACAATCTCAATACAAATTAGTAAACTAAATAGTCCAGCTTGGAGCGGTGACTACTTCACAACACACAGTGACCATGGAGAACCAAAGTAGCCACCCTCCAGAAAGAAGGACAGTGTCAGCACCAATTCAGAGATGATTTGAGGAACTACAGCCGGTGATACACACATTTTTGTTAATAGTTAGGGTACTTGCATGCATTTTTAGTGAATCTGTATCATTGCCCGGCATGGGCCAAGCCCGGGATCACTTCACAGCTTTGCATTTGATGAATGAACCCTCATGGAGTTCACCGAGAAGTTTTTGCTATGGAGTAGTAGGGGAGGTGAGTCACAGGAGGCGTGTGTGTGTCACACGTCCCGCCCCGCCCCCTGCAGTGCACACATCAAAACTCCCTGGCTGGGTAAGTCCGGGTTTTCAGCCATATATAAGAAAATGAAGGCAGGTCTACAGGCAGTATAAAATATAAACAATCAACGTCCCCCCCCCCCCTCAGCGGGCCACGGTAAAATTATAAAACGTTGACTGGTCCGTGGCCTTAAAAAGGTTGGGGAGCACTGGAGTAGGGTATGTTCAACATGCAAGAAGCCAACTTTCCCCGGGGAATGAATCCTATGGAGCTCCATGTTATAGGGGGAACGCTCTGGTCTAGCTGGTACTGGTCTGGTATAGCAACTAGCTGAGGAATTTGGAAGTTTGGCATTCCGTGTGTCAGGAAAAGGGGGGAATGCTCACAGGGGGAGTCGGGAGGGATCAGGCTGAGGCGGAACAATCCAGACTGCTGACATAAGCACTGAGTGATTCACTCTCATCACACCCACAGGTTCCTCTGAATTGCAGGCTGGATTTCAGTGACTTGTTGAACACGAAGCTGAGCCGAGCTTGAGAGCCCTGAGGGAGAACACACAGCGACCCCGGCCTGTTCTGGGACCCCTCCGAGGATCATGGCGGACAGTCCTGCGGTCAGCCAATAAGCCCCGACAGCATGGAAGAGGCAGACGGGGGGAACGCCGGGGTAAGTCGGTCCGAATGAGCAATGCAGCCATACAGAACTAGAATTTTTATCAGCCGTGTGTTGAAAGGCGGCTTCCATTGACTTCAACCTCCACTGTACAATCAGCTGCCCTCTGTGAATGTTCAATCCATGACATTACAGGGGTTAGGCAACCTCAGCACTCCAGCTGTTGTGGAACTACAAATCCCATGAGGCATTGCAAGACTCTGACAGCCACGGACATGACTCCCAGATTTTAAGGGTTCTGCAAATGTTTTTGCAGAAATTGTTTTGCAGAAATTGTGGATGCATCCAGAATTTGGTCAGATGCTGCTTTTCCTTTAACGTATGCCAGTTTTTAAATGGCCTGTGCATGTTTTTTTATTAGAGCTGAACTCCTGGCACAAAATATGTAAGGTAAATGGATTCTTTAACTGCCACAAAGGATATACAGTAAATCCACTTTGTGTGCACCAAATGCCTTTGCCAACCCAGATGTTACCTTGTAAAGGTGTCATCCTCACTGTGCTGTACATAACCTGTGCAGGGACCAGAGCTGTGGGTGGGACTTGTCAATAACTTGCTTCTGCAGTGACATGTTCCTGGAAATGATGTTAGCAGGCTGGCACTGGGATACGGGGACACAAACTAAACTTTGTGAGTGCAAGCTCTGCAGATATGTGTGCCTGTCTTTACAGATGGAGGATGTGTATGGACTGGTGATGGGTGGCGTTTCCCAGCATGCCATTCTGCAACTGCATTTCTATGTAATTAGCATGCATATAAATTTGGATCATTGGAGCCGGCTGTACGTATAGTATTACAATTAGGACCCATTCACACCATGGTTCCTGCAATCAATGCATGCTACCTTGCACCTACCGTGCGTTACAGCACAGGAGGTGCGTGGGGTTGCTTTGCCTTCATTTGAATGGCACCCCAAGTGCAATGCACCCGACAGCAACACTGTGGTGTGAATCCACCCGTAAATTGCCATCTGACTGGATATAAAGTGAATGAATTGTTTCACACATCATAGATATTGGGGAATCTGAATGAGATAATGGAACCGGATTGTAGTATGTGTGGCTAGTTTTAGGGATAATTTATATCTGTCGTCACCACGAGTCCAGGGATTCACGTATGGTGAATGTTACAGGATGTTACATGTTCTCTCTTGGGGGACAATTTATACACGCAGGGTGAATGCCACTTGCCTAGAATCCTGCCACAGCACTAGATGGCGACAAAGAGTATAATTTCCTGATGCCCATTGGCTCCATCTAGTGGCGGGAATGACCCGTGACTGGCACTCTCACAGCGTTTACCTGGGCAGAAGATTTATAAATCGTCCCCTTGGAGTGTTTATCATATCCTCAGTGCTATATTGTGCACTGGACTTGCCTGCAATAATTACAGGGATCCAAGCAGACTTCAGAGACAGTTCCCATCCACCTTTGGGTGTTCTCACTTTTCCTGCTGCAATCCCCACAATATAAAATATAGAACACCCAACAGTGAGAGAGGGAACCCATTATAATGGCTGTGGCAAACCCAGAGATTCCAGTGCAGAGATCTCACAGGCAGGGAAACTGTACTTAAAGAAGAACTCCAGGCAGAATAGCAATTAACCCTTGCAGTGGGGCTACCCCAGCAATGCAAGGGTTAAGTGCTCGTTTTGGCCTAGGTTGTAAAATAAAAAAACCCGATCCTCGGTCCCACAGGGGTGATCGCTCACCAGCTCTGCTCCGGCTCTGGAATGTCCCTTGGCACCTCCACATCTAATGCAATTAAATGGACGTGATGATGCCACGGGTCCTTAGACCACCAGAGCCCGGGAAGAAGAGGCTGCAGAGACCGGTCTTGCAGCCAGGCGGGACTGAGGATCGGGTAATAGTGCATCAACATGCATTTTAAAGTGTAATTAACATACAATGCAAAGAGATCTTTGCTCTTTGCCAGGACAGACAGCCCTGTCCCCCCCCCCCCCAAAAAACAGTGAGAACCAAGCAGGATTTTTCAGTCCTGGGGTTTTCAGCAAAAGAACATCTACAAAAAGGTAAGCTGCAAATTCTAAATATCTTTATATATCCAGTAAACTAAATATCTTTATCTATGTGACATGAATGGAAACATGTAACAGATATAACGTAGGCGCTATCCCAATTAGGCTGCAAACATGGAAGTACACTTTAAAATGGCAATATCAGATGGGTGGAGTGATCCTTTCATTATTACGGCTCACGGTGAAAGTGTACATAAACACAGAGGCAGACTAGAGCGTTGGGTAACATCTCCACCCCGAGTCCGTGCTTACCCTCAGGGAGAATGGTTTCCTAAAGCATACATACTTGTGGTTGGATTAGTGAGGCATGTAGAGCTCACCTCTGATATGAACGATGGTGTGGCAGATACGCCATAGGAAGTACTTATTAGATGAGAGATTGTGCAAACATTCTGAAAACTCATGACTCACATGATCATCATCAGTGGCGGAGCTCGCAGACAAGCAGAGAAAAAATGTTTCAAAGTTGAATTTTAGTGAAATTTTATTCAATATTAAAAGTGAAGTTTTTTTTAATAATAAAAGTAATTTTTTGTTCAGTAATAGTGAACTTGTGTTCAATAATAATGGTGAATCTTTGTTTAATAATAATGGTGAATCTTTGTTCAATAATGGTGAATCTTTGTTCAATAATAATGGTGAATCTTTGTTCAATAATAATGGGGAAATTTTGTTCAATAATAATGGGGAAATTTTGTTCAATAATAATGGTTAATTTGTGTTCAATAATATTACATTTGTATTTGATTTTTTTGTTCTATAATAATAGTGAATGTTTGCTAGGGAACTTTATTTCACTTTAAAGTTCCTAAACTGTAGGCAGCAAACTAACCCTTGTACCTAGTGCTGTCCCTACAATGAGGCAGTTGACTCAGGTGGCATCTCATTGGGTAACATGGGGGGGGTGCAGGTGTGCCTACCATTCCCTTTCTGGCAAGAGCATCCCAGGTTGCTAAGAGCTGGCAACCTGTGACGCTCTGGACAGTGTCCCACTGTGCTGCAGGCAACCAGTAATGTCAGTGAACTGGGCTGGATGCCGGACACAGCTACCCCCCCCCCCCTTCTTCCCCAGTAACATTCATTACCAATAACTACCCTTTTCCCCCCTGGTAACGTGCATTGCCAGCACCCCCCTTTCCTGGCCTCAGGCGGCAAAAAAATGTAGAGACACCCCTGCATGTACCCTTGTAGAATGTGCCAAAGTTCTACTCAAACTAACAATGAGTACTGGGAAGCGCAGGTGAGGTCAAATGCCACCCACATTGGTAGTTCTCTGGGCTTTGGTGCTCCTATTAACCACTAAAGCTGGCCATTTACCAGCAGAATTGTTTGCAAAACTAGTGTTTTTATTTTTCAAATAAACATTATTACAGATCGCTACAGCAGGACTTTTTTCTCTTTTTGTTTTGTTTTATTTGTACAGACACCAGGTCAGAACATACGCAGCAGGTGTGTGTAGACTTCAGGGAAAGGATGAGGATATATTTATTGTCATTCCAAAAACATGTTATTCATTAAAATGTCCTGGTGAACAAAAATCAAGAGAAACAAATAAACAGAATAAATCAATATGTAAACATAAAAGTATAAATAAAAAGATGTAAAGATAAATATTATTAAATGAACACCTATTTGTTCATAGTGAGCAGCCACTAGACATAAAAAGCAGCAGGATAAGATTGCTATATTATCAATCATAAAGTGCAGTATTATCAATCAGATTGCAGCAATGCCCAGATAAGAATAATATAGGAGGTATATAGATAGTAAGCCTCTCTCAGTCTCTCTCCC